TAACCGGCCCACACTTTTATAAATACATACAGGTATGGCAATAAACCAATGGGTAAATTTAATTCCCAAAAATTTTGTATTTAAGTCAGCAATATAAGCTGATAACATCTTGTGAACTGTCTCACTAATTTAGCATTTGTAATAGTTTATCATGTAAATTTTGTAACATTTTTAAAGTCAGTTTCATCAGATATTTGTTTACAGTCACATTGTATACAATTGTGTTATAGAAAATTTAGCTATACAGGTACGTATATTATTCATCAAAAGGTATTGTCTATGTATACAGTATCAAGAATACATTCAACAAAAAAATATCCCGTAATTCTGTAACTAATAACAGAATAAAAATGATCTGTTCAATTTTTGTACCAAGTCTGATACCCATTATTGAACTAAATACTTTAACATCAAACTGTCAATCGCTACACTACCAGCTGTGCTCCAAACACATTTGAACTTCCATTACCCCATTTCAAAAATGTCAAATTTTGTCTTGTTTATTTAGTTAACAAACTTACAGTCATACCGATATCATTGAAGTTTCAGTTTTTCATTCGTTAGTCAGCTATGTGCTATATTTCTTTGAATTGTAATGTTATTGACATTACCTTTTTTGACTGATGTTGTGTGTAATCTGATGATAACGTGGAGGGTATCAGCTTGGTCTAACATTGGCAGACAGGTGAAATTTATTTTTACCATTTTTCTTTTCAAAACAAAAACATCTGCACACACTTTCTAGTGCTCATATATTACATATCCCTTCTCTTTCCAACTCTTGTGGTAGTTCTTCCCATTTTATATCCTATTATAATGAATCATGCACTTGTCATCCTTTCAACTTCACTTTTTTAATTCTAAAACCAAATTGTGAGAAGATATTATTGGTTGATAATGTTTTGCACCGAGGACACCTGTCTCAAATTTACTCCGAGGAGACCCGTCTCAAATTTACTCGGCGGAGACCCCATCTTAAAATTGCAGCGAGGAAACCCACCTTAAAACTGCACCAAAATCAGCCTTTAAACTGCAGAGAAAATCCCTGTCAAAATTGAGATAGTTCCCTCCTCAGAAAGAAAAATTACGGAACAACAATATTATCTGCTGATCTCGTGTTTAAACAACATCCGTTGCCAGCACTGGGCATTCCCTCTATAATTAGCCCATATACACACTTTCATAATCCACTCTGCCTTGGTTTATCTCTGTTTTCTATCTCTCTCTCCACATCTTTCATCAGGCATACCTATTAATTTTTTCTTAACACAATCTTCCTACCTCTTTTTTGCTCTAAACTCGTTTACCCAATCATCCAACGTACAATACATAACCTATATCTTCCATTATCTAAAACCTGTTTGTTGACAACTGTCTCACTTCTACAAAATGCACAACTTTAGGTACAATATATATTTACTGATAAAAAAAAAATCACAAGTGTCCAGGCTCACAAACACTGCGTATTAACATTACAAACAGAGTCCTGAACTATCTGATTTTACATAATATGAAGTCAACTGGATCAATTCCAAGCTGTGTACACATGTAATGATTATCATATTTACAAACAAATAAGTAATGTTTGTACATTTGAATATACAGTACTATGATGCTTATTCGATCACACAACCTGTGGCGAGACAAATCACGAGTGTATTGTTATGGAAATATAAAGACAGCATGTACATAACTGTGTTATTTCTTTTTCCCGAATTTATACTGCATTTGTATTGAATGCAATCAGTTATAGGTATCAAGGAGACACTGTTATAGTAGGTATCAACGACACATGTGTCTCTTAGAAACATTCTAAGGGAAAATAACATTTAGGATAATGACGAACCTACCAGTATAAAAAAAAAAAGTACCATACACTATTAAGGAAATCAGATTTTTGTGAATTGCTATTTATATAGCAATACTATATATTGCATTGATTCTATCAACACTACTCCTTATATGTGGTCTTGCTGTATATTAATAGGCATGTATAGGGTTTGTGTAGTTACCTAAGTATATTTCCAGGAGTTGAGCTTCAGTTCTTTAGTCCTGCCTTCTCAGCTATGATCAAGGTTTTCTAATAACTGTCCCATAGTAATGAAGCTTCTCCACCATTGTCTGGTGTACCCATACTACTCTTTCCACACGTCATGGATTCAACTCTCAAATAAATGATACATCAAAAGAAAAGCTAGAGAAAATGTACACTTACATACAAACACGTTTGCCATGCTAAGCTTCACAATACCATATATCTGAATACCTTGGAAATAAATTGTCAAACTCATTTGTGCCAGTATATCTTATCTTGAGATGATTTTGGGGCTTAGCGTCCCCGCGGCCCAGTCCTCGACCAGGCCTCCTTTTTGTTACACATCCCCAGGAAGCAGCCCGTAGCAGCTGTCTAACTACCAGGTACCTATTTACTGCTAGGTGAACAGAGGGGCATCAAAGTGAAAGAAACTCCGCCTATTTGTTTCCGCCTCCGCCGGGAATCGAACCGGGAACCTTTGGACTACGAATCCTGAGCGCTGTCCACTCAGCCGTCTGGCCCGTTAGCACCAGTAAACCATTTCTAAAATATAAATGCATTATACTGAATTATTATTATAGTACTGTATTAATATATAAAAAACAAGATTAGCAAAAATAATTAAAAGCATACAACAGAAATTACTATCATAATTAACTGATGATGCAGATTTCAATGCATTCCCCTAACAGATTATTTTTTTTATACATAAGAAATCTGAATTTCAAGAGTGGAAATCCTGTGAATGGATTTGCTCCATTTTTAGAGGGATCCATTATAGATGGATCTATATAGACGAAATTGTCATCAATTTCTGTCAACAAACAAAGTCCTCTCAAATCCTGTGAATGGATTTGCTCCATTTTTAGAGGGATCCATTATAGATGTGTCCAAATTTGGAAAGGTGCACTGCACACAGTGATGTCTTCTATTCTTTCACATTTATAATTGTCATCAATTTCTGTCAACATACATAGCCCTCTCAAACCATCCCACCGGTTTGATTTTCAACTCTACTCCCTGCTACTAATTTGCATCTCACCACCAAAACATCTCACTATAAAATTAACTTCTCAATTCTTCTCTCCTGCCATGCTAACTTGTTTACTGTCACTCGGATACAAAGTTCTCTTTAGTTTGCATTGAATAATTTTGCATTTCTAAATCCATGCTGGTGTGGCATTATAAAAGGCTCTATGATATGAGAATAGATTAAAGAAAATTTAACCTAATCACACTGGAAGAAAGAGAAATACATAAAGTGGATATAAAGTCTTTTTCCGGGTGAGGGAAGTTGGGATGAGAGACCACATGTGATGTAAAGAAATACAGTACCCCACACTGTCTCTCTCGAAACATAGTGCAGTTCACAGACACTATGCCATGTGGAAAGTGGGGGTCACAACTTGTATTGCACACCATAAGGCCTTTATCGGCAAGCGCATGAGCCAGAACACAAGGCATAAAAAATTGGCTGCGAGTGCTGAACAGGGGTAAACAAATATTTAGCAAACTTAGAATCTACTGGATTTGGCAGTATACCTCCACAATACATTATTAACTATGATGAAACAAATTCTCTGAAGATCCAAGAAGCACCCAGATATTATTTAGTAGCATCCTAGAGAAGCCATAAGCACTTCAAAGACTTCTTTCTGTCATGTTTGCTGGCAGTGCCTCTGGAATTTTACTGCACCATATATTGTGTACAGAGGAAGAATATCTTTATGAACTGTTGGGATGGACCAACTAATGACTGCTACCACCAACCAAAATATGGACGGTTTGAAATATTTTGCATTAAAGACTGGTTCAAGACCTTAATACCGTATTTCAGAACCCTAGATAATGATTTTTCCAGTGCAGTGATTGGCGACAACCTAGTATCACACGTATCTGCCACAATTATTGAACCATGTGAGCAATAAAACATTCATTTAATTTTACTTCAACTGAACAGCCTCTAGATCAGTGTTTTCCATTCACTGTGCCAAGGTACATTAGTGTGCCGCAAATGGTCCACAGATGTGCCACGGCAGTTTGAGGGAAAGTAAAAAAATAACACGAGTAATAAGAATTATGAACATTAATTTTAAAACCAATCTTCTGAAATCCATGCTCAACATTACTTAAATACCACAAACACTTAACAACACTGTTCAGTGTGCTGAGAGTTGACAAAGGTTGAATATATCTGCTCTAAATGCATATTTCAATGGACGTGGTCAGGGGATACATTATATCTTGTTACCAAAGCAATGGTTCCCATATCTGCTTGTGGACCAGCTCAAGGCCATGACAAATGTTGACTCTTTACTGTGTAAGCCATTTCCAACCACGTGCATTTGTCTCCTCGATAAAGATCGAATCCTCGACAAACTGCACCATTCCCATACCCAGGCGATTTTCCCCAGCAGTAAACCTGATTAGTCCCAAGGTAATTAATCGTATTAAGAAACAGAGAGGTAGCAAAATACAAAGCCAGCTAGAAGAGTTCAAGCAAAGAGACATTGTATCATCTGGCAAAAGTTTCAGTTATCAAGATTTCAAACAAGCAGGGCCATAGGAATTATCACTAAGGATGAATCTAGGTACCAGTAATAAAAAAATATAAAAGCCAACCATCATCTGAATCAAGCTCCAAGGGTTCTCAGTTTTAGTGACAGAATCTATCGGCATTGATGACTCACAAGTACAGTAGAAGTACCATTAGTTGGTTGAAACTAGAGAATTCGAGGTAGGCGACTGTCCTCATCAAATTTGCTAGCAAGAAGCACATTTTTCATTACATTGGAAACCTGCAGCAACAGTGATGATGATGGATGATGCTAGGACATGGATGATAGACTATCTGCACAAAAATTATGCAAATGATTCCCAGAATTTTACATTTGTAAAGTCTCGGAATTCTGTCAAGTACAACACTTGGATGATATTGTGGCAAAGGGTGTGGTCAAAGATAAGATTTTTCCAGAGTATTTATTTACTGGTGTGACTGTATGCTAGGTCATGTATCATATTACTTGCCTTAAAAATCTGCATTTAACTATTTAAATCATTTTGGCCCACTTGCCTCAAATTGTGGGGTAAATGGGCCCAGCATTTGGAATGCTGTTCCTTGTTATACATGATTAACTAAAAACTTCTATTGCTATCATAGCCACCTGAAGGATAGATTTACATGATCAAACAATAAGATCAATAAATATCCAACTTGTGTTTAATTACCATGAAAAATTAAAACAATAAATGCAGGCCCACTTACCCCAATCTATGGTACATTACAGTATTATCAACAAAGCAACCTCATTCTCTCAGCCTCTTTCTCAGTTCATATTCAAGAATGCACTGGAATTCTTCCCTGTTGCTATCATTTACAACTTTTGCTAAATTAGGAGGAAAGAGCAAAGTCCCACTCCGTACATCAGCCAAGAGAGACTGACGTCCAGCATTTACAGTACGAGATAAAACTGACAACTCGTCTGATCCCATGTTACCTTTTGAAAGCGATTCCTTTATTACTTGCCCAACAAGTGACCGCAGATATATATCCGCTTGATGAGCAACACTACGTGAACATTCTAATCGCGATTCTGCCACTTCCAGTTCACGGTCCTCTAACTGAAGCACTGGTGATGTAAAGCACTTGTATATCATATTCCATGTACTATACAATTCCTCTAAATTGTCAGCTTGGAGAATATATGTGGCAGACTCCCAGCTGTGTTCACTTGGCAGAGGTGGTTGTAATTTGCCTGCCATTGCTTCAATTACTGCAGTTGGTACACGTGTTTCTCGCTGCAAATTTTGTTGAACAGCAATTTCAGTGGTGCATTCAATATACAACTGACAAAATCCAACCGTGTGCTTCCTAGCCAATTGAAAATATTCATATCTCATACTTCTATAATAAAAATTATCATCCAATAAGACTACATATAAAGCCTCTTCCTCTATAATCTTATTTGATAAATTAAAGAAATTAAGAACAAAATCATTCAGATTCTTACTTTTTAGGCACTCAACGAGCTGATCAACTTTAGAATGTACATTACGTCTTGCAGTTTTCCAGTTCTCATTCGCACTGTGACGCATCTCCTCACCACACTGCTTAAGTTGAGCAAACCGCTCTTGGGCTGATAATGGAATCAGTTCGTCATAGCACACATGAATGTAGTGGACCTTCTGCCCTTCGCACTTACCATTTACATAAGATGACAGGTTTTTGCACACTGTTGACTTTCCAACACCTGGCAAACCTACCAGCACAACAAGTGCTACGTGTGTTTCCATCACACTACAATGCTCTCCTGTGCAGAAAAACTTATCAAAATTATGTCTTTTTCACTTCACAATCATTTGGTTCATGTTCATCATTAGCCATCATTTTCAGCGTACCTTGGGCAGTATTCCATGCACCTTGTGCTCTGGCTTCCTCCTCATTTGTCCAGTTTTTCTCGTTACCAGGAGTGTTATTCTTACCCGAATCATCGGGACTTGTCACCGAGGTCACAAAACCTCTTTTGATCACTTCCCCTCTAGCCGCTAAGATATCCTCAATATTCTTCTTGCCATCCAGGTCAGAAAACCAGCCAAGATTATCTGCCACAAGATGGTGCTTTGAACAGCCCTCGCAGGTAACTATGACGACACCCTTCTTATAAGCTAGCTGGGAAATAGTCTTAGACTGTCTTGTGCTACACACTTTACAAGTATATGTTAACTGAAACTTGGGCTCAATTTTTCCTAGTGACTGACAACTTCCATCATCCTTAATAGAACTTTGGCTACAGAAATTAGCTGCACTAAAGTAAACATTTTGATGTATGTTATTTCTAAATGTTGGCTGAAATTTTTTTACAAACCATGATGGACTTTGCCTAACTGATAAAACTGTCTTGCCTAGGTTAGGTCCAAAAAATCTTGTCGTCAATTTTGCAATATGTGCCATAATTAATAAGCACACAGCAATTTACATAGCATTAGTTAATACACTACACTTTGCTCACTGACAACAATGAAACTTCTCACTTTCAACCTAAACTTGGTTATCAACTTGCTGCTGTTCTTGACTTTCAACAAGGCTTTGTTGTTGAGCTTCAATCTGCTTACTCATCTCATCAATGCGTCGTTGCATGTAGATGGGCTGGACTTCTGCATAAACTGACATAATCTTGTGGTTCACGTTCACGTGCTTCCCAACACAGCGATCCACACACGCAGTCTGAAAATGGTAAACAAGGATTAAAACATATAACTTTCTGTACTTGCCTAATTATACATGATACCTGCTTAATGGGGTTCTGGAAGTTGTTCTACTCCCCAAGCCTGACCTGAGGTCAAGCTTGACTTGTGAGAGCTTAAGCCACCAGGCTGTTGCTTAGAGCAGCCCACAGGACAACATATCCACCACAGCCCGGTTGGTCCGACACTTCTTGAAGAAAACTAGTTTTCTCTTGAAGATGTCCACGGTTGTTCGCGCAATATTTCTTATACTCGCTCGGAGGGTGTCGAGTTTTAATTCTCTGGTCCTACTTCCCACAACCTTCAATCAATAGGTTCTCAATCTCAAGCCTATTGGACTATCATAACTACATTGGAAATTGTGTATGGAATCCATCTTCATCACTTCAAATAAAATATGCTGAAGATTGTTCACTTCTGACACTGAAAAATTCCTCAATGTCAGTGGTTCATTTGGGTCCTTGTCTTTCACCCCTTTTTCACTTGTTCATGTACCACCCATTTAAAACAATCCATCGTTGTCTGCTCTGTCAATTTCCCCTAGAAATTTGAATTTGTTAATCATATTTAGCCTTAACTTGTATTTTTCAGAGACATGTGGTCTAATTATCTTCGTCTTTCTTTGTAACTTACACCTCCCAGAACATGTGAGGACATCCCACCAAACTTAACTTCAATCAGCTATGAGTTACCAGAGAAGCCAATTGGTTCAATAATCATAGAAAGCTTACAAGAATTTTTTTTTTTTTTAGTACTGTACAAGACACCACAAATTTTGGAACTAAACGGAAAATAAAAATAAACAAATATATTTAGAGAAAGCCATTGCGCATCCCTAAATGGGGACGATTCCTAATTACTGTACAATACAGTACTGTAAATTAAATGGTCACCAGAATCCTTAAAAATACTGTGCAGGAGGATGACAGGGTAACGTCTCTTAAACAGTGTATCGCCTGCTATACCTGTTACAGGCAAAAATTACACCTCTATTGAATGCTAATGAAATACAGTACCTCTTTCTGATGTGTCCTTGGTGCCTTCTTGTTACCAGCTACTGGGATTGCTAGCTCAACCCAATTCAATCCATGACAAGCCCTTGCAAGTCATTGTAAGCCAACTGTGGGCCATGGATCAAAATGTCTTCCCCCTCCCCCCCTTTTTCCTTCCTCCAGAGGTGCAAGAAGCAGAGTATACTATATCACTAAACAAGAAAAAGCCACTAGAAGAGTGAGTGAGGCAGACAATCAGCAAGGCAAACAAAGCATAGAAAACAAGTAATAAGACCCCAAACCAAACAAACCATCTAGTCATGAAGCAGTTCATTTGTTTGTTTCACCACCACGTGATTGAATACTTAGCTTCTCGATCCTCTAGCCTTAACTTTACACTTAGCAGGAAGATGAAAAAATTGAAGCCCCCTTAACGTGGAAGCCCAAGGAGCCACCAGGGATCCGCTAGAAAGAGGTGAAAACCATTCATTGATGATTTTCTGGAATGGCTCCTTTGGTGACACCTTATTAATAGCTATGGTACCATGAAGAACAGAATAAAAGGGGAACTCACCTGGGGCAGAGGAGAGCTGCCGAGAGAAAACCCATTGTGAGGAAATAATTAACAGCAAGTTAACAGCTCCAAAGCCACACAAGCTAAGTGCAAACCAGGCATGTTTACTAAGTACTGAGCTGTTGGACATTCAAAACCCACGAGCCAAAATATCTGCCCATAACATTCTAAAATACCATAGACAGAGCAGACAGAACTGCAAAATTATGAACATTATAATTTGAGGTAGACCACAAGCTAGCTAACCTTGAAGACACTGGAAATAACCTGATATACGAGCTCTGGAACGAAGGACCCACAGTGTCCTCCCCCATCCCCCACACCACTAGTAGCAAAGAGGTAATGGCAGACTGGTCACAACAAATGAAGCACCCTCAGCTGAAGCAACCTAGCATCAATCGCCAAAGGACCCCTCTGGAAACCAGCCATCTCATTGTTAGTTGGAAAGGAAGGAGAGGACTACAGCTCAAGAAAATCCTGCTACCAGAGTGGGAGTGTGAAGCTCCCAAACTCAACAAGAAGTAAGAGCCAATACAAGCTTTAAAGATGTAATCCTGGACCAAAGGGTCAACAGAAAACCAAGGCGAGTTGAGGAAAACACAATCTTGTCAAATCTAAATGCAATGAAGCAACAGTATTCGGCATGAGAAGCAAAAAAAATCACCCACTAACCAAAAATCGAGCTGAGTAAAGAATAGAGACAGACATTAGAAAAAGTAATCAAATCAATATCAAACAAATGAAGACAGCTCGCCCACAAGCCAAGCAAGCCTCAAAGAATCAGGACACAGTTGCTAGCCTCCTAACTGTAGAAATGAAAGGCAAAAACCCCCCGTCATAGTACCTGGCACCAAAAAGAGCAAAAGGCAAGAGCTGAGTAACCCAAGGGAATCAAGAGGCACCAATGATCACCAGAGTAAACAAGGGGGCACCCAAGAACAGTCAGGGAACTGAAGCAGCATGTCAAACTCCCCAAAAAACACAGTGCAGTCTCTAAAGCTGAGTTAGGCACAAGACTCAAAACCCAACAGGGATCTGAACCCCAGAGTTAAAAACCTCAGAAAGGGAATGAATCCATGAAACTTGACAGCACTTAGAAACACACATGGGTAGTAGCAACCGAAGGCAGGAGCCAATTCATAAACGAGACAGATGCCACGACGACAAAAAATTGCAGGTTTCAGGGTGAAAGGAATAATCTACCCATAGGCAATATAGCAGAGATGATAATGGGTGGCCATCAGAATGCAAAAAAGAGACTCATGGCCATCTTACAAACTCGCACTACAGTGGTGTGTATCAGATGGCCAAACTAAGCAGGACCCCTCAGTAACGGGCTTTCAGGAACCCGAAGGTTGACCAAGCAGGAAGCACATGGGCTGCTCGCCAAATATAAGACATAGAACACAGCCTAGAGGCATATGCAGTAGTAGTTGTGTAAGCAGCTTGCCTTAAAAAAAAAAAAAAAAAAAAAAAAACTCGAGCACCCTGTGCCATTCAAAAGAAAATCCCAAATGCTCCCATCCTTAAAGCCTCATAGAGGGTTTAAAGACCCTTGCACTGCTAAGGGTGATGATTCCTTCCTCAAGAAGACAACTAGTTTAGGTGACTGTCTCTTCCTCAGGAAGAGACAGTCAAGAGAAAGAGTCTTTTGTCAATTTGTCAAGAGAAAGCACCAAACCAGTATGACTGTACAGAGCAAAGGAGATCAAGAAGCTAGGTGCACCTAGCAGAGCGCAGGTAGAATTGATGAGTGAACTACAGTACTTCACAACCAATTGGATCATCTGGTTCATTTCTCACCTTCTACAGTGTATTTTCTTTACTTTGTTGATTATCTGCTTTGCTTTACTCTCGGGACCTTACTTTCACCTTTCTAGTCGCTTTTGTTTGGTTAGTGCGCTCCTTGCGTCTTTAGTCACTGGTGGACTTTAAAGTGATTTCCAAGGACATGCCATATATTGAATTGGGTGGAGCTGTCCAACTAGCTACCAACAAAGAGCCACCATCGAAGCCTTCCCAGAAAATTAAAACAGAAATCAATTAAAACCTGTGCAATGTATTTTACAACTAGCACAGTTCCAATACATTAGAAGTGGGAAAAATACATTTCTGAACATGTTAAGCAATTCAAACCCCAACTTGCGATACTGTACTTCGTAATACAGTATACCATATAGTACCTCACAGTACAAACGATAACAAATGAATTATTAAGAATATTACTGTAATTTAAAGTCATGATCAAGTTGCAAATACCAAGATAACAAATGTTAATGGCGGCATTCAAGGTTATGTAGCGCAGAAATCTACCTTTGTCAGCTCACAACCGTGCCGGAACAACCGTGGACATCTTCAAGAGGAAACTAGATTGTTTCCTCCAAGGAGTGATGGACCAACCGGGCTGTGGTGGGTATGTGGGCCTGCGGGCCACTCCAAGCAACAGCCTAGTGGACCAAACACTCACAAGTCAAGCCTGGCCTCGGGCCGGGCTTGGGGAGTAGAAGAACTCCCAGAACCCCATCAACCAGGTATCAACCAGGTATCGCAACCAATTTTGATTTGGGTTCAATCCACAGGTAAGATAAAGATGGCTGGGTACCTTTCCATTCACCCAATGCCTCTGTTCATCTAGCAATAATTAGTAGTTCCCGAGAGTTAGGCAATGGTTGTTCAATACAAAAAAAAAAGTACAGGATCTCAAGTACTATGTTATCTATTTATTTTTGTAAAATTGCTTAATAAAGTCATATGTCACCTTGATTCAGTGTTTACCCCCATAAAACTTTTAAATTTTTACTCTAGTAAGTTTTCTAAAATACACCTTTGGATTTCCTTGCTATTATTATTGTTTAAAAAAAGCTACAGAACTTCTGTACTGTTGCTAGAACTACCAATTCCATATTGTAATAGTCTATGCCTGTCATCATTATCACCTTTATTTGTTACATGTCTTGAACATTCTCACAAATGCTAGCTTGCTTCTCTTTTAGTATAGTGTTGATCCCATTAGAACCGGTGGCTGAACGGACAGAACACTGGAAGCGTGATCCTGTTGTACCGGGTTCGATCCTGGGCGCCGGCGAGAAACGATTGGCAGAGTTTCTTTCACCCTGATACCCCTGTTACCTAACAGTAAATAAGTACAGTACCTGGGAGTTCGTTAGCTGTCACGGGCTGCTTCTTGGGGGTAGAGGCCTGGTCGAGGACCAGAGCGCGGGGACACTAATGCCCCAAAATCATCTCAAGATAACCTCAAGATACCTATAAATAATTGTTCATCTAAATTATTCTAAGTTACAACTCAGAGCATTTGCCGAAATGCTCCGAGTTGTAATGGCTGCAATTTTTTGTGTGTAACCCCTGTATCTAAAAATTATCCCTTCATCTTATGTTCTTTATACGCACACATTCTAATAAAATTATTATTATTATTATTATTATTATTATTATTATTATTATTACTACAGTACTCACTTCAGCTTCCGATATGTTACGATCATTAAATCCAGTAACGCACAAGTTGAAACAGCGCTCTGATATCTGATTGTAGAGGACCAGGAAATCCTTAAACTGAAAAAGCAAAAGAGGTACATTAATAAAAGGCACAAACCAAAGGAAATGCATCCTATGACAAGGCAGTAGTACTGTGCTGTAATAATTGTACAAGTTCTTTGTGGCCAACATCAACAACAGTTCATTAAATAGTGCTTTGATGGTACTCATTAGAAGTCTAATTTTAATCATCAATTTGACTTGGTCATTCTATCATATACAGTAAGACTATACAGAGCTTCAATAGTATTATTTTTGAAACCTCACGCAGTATTGTTGAAAAGTTTATAGCAATACTGTATAGTTAAAAACTTTCCTGGGGAAGTTTTTTCTCCAATTTGATATGCATAAGGTACAATGTACTGGTAGGCATCATGTCTGGAACCCATGATGTGATGCATTTACAATATGGACTACTCAACTTGTGATTTGACAAAGTGCTTAGCTAAGCAACAAAATTGAACATTCTCGTACTGTATTGCAGGACCTTCCGGACATCCTGCAAGTTCTCCTGTACCTCAACATATAACAATTTATAGATACAGTACCCCTAATGTTGAATTTTAAAACTAACCTTGTTGTCTGTTGCCTACTGTGACCATTATAACAAATACTGAACAGTACCATTATCTCTGAGGTTCAGCTAAGTTCACTAAATGCAATGGTACTGTCAAACACCTGGCCCAAATGAGTCACTGCAACCCACACCCAATACCACATCTATGCCTAACAAAAAATATTTTCTATCTTAGATTAATATACTGTACTGTATGGCACTCCTGAATGAACAAATGAGCTAAGACCGGGCCACAACCAACATTCTGTTGCCGCTATTATTTAGTAAATTTTGCCCATTTTCATCAACAATCAGCGCCAATCTGAACCCCCCCCCCCTCCATTTTCTTACTGGAAACGCCACATATACATGTATTTATTAATGCCGTCTTCCTTCCACTGTAAACCAATACATCCTGGAATTGACACATCATTTTAAGGCTTAGAGTCAGGAACTTGGCAGCCCTGAGCTTGCGTGGGCTGGGCAGATAACTGGGAACAAGTCTTTGTTAATCAACTGCAATTACTTCAAAGAAGAGAGAGACCATATGTCTGTTCCAGAGGACTACCTTGCTCACTATCTCGGTGTTGAGAACCAGAGCCCATCGACTGATCCAGCCTTTACAGCGACAACTAACTGAATAGCAACACACATGCAACACAACCAAAACATGTGTTCAAACCTCCTTAAATCCAATATCTCTCAACAAAAACGAACTATTGGAACCATAACAAATTCTGTCTTCATACGTATAACAAAAGCCCTTGTGTTCAAATTCCTAACCCATGCTAATATTGACATACTATCCTCTAATGCTAACCCTCCCTGACTGTAAACGTTTCCTAGGGAAATGTTACAGAATTCATGATCACACAAGGACTAGTTATCAGCTAAGCCATTCCTAGAGTTCATCTAAATCAATGCAATGCAATACGTTTCTAATGAAGCAAATTAATGCAAACCATTCACTGTATTTCATTCATGAGTAAAGTATTAGTTTATCACCACATTCTCCTAGTACTACAGTAGGCAAATACTGCATTAAACTACCTGAATTCAAATTGCAGTACTACTACTACTGCCTTCTTGTTAACGAGAATACATCCACTACACTAGTTTTAAGTATTTTGTACAGGATTCACTGTACTTCAGTTAACACCTTAAATAACTGCAAATTCGAATTAGACCGATGTGTATTGATCATTATGTTAGCTTTAAGATGGCGAAAAACTAAGCATATTAGTGACTTTACGAGAATGTACAGTGTACCAATATACTGTACAGTACCAAACAATTTTATTTATATGGCTGAACTGTATATTGTACTAATATGAAAGACCTATTTACACATCAAAACTTTTACAAAATCCATTGTTACATCATGTAAATAAACAATATACTATATATAAAATGTTCATCATATTTGTTCTCATCACTTTCTCCTCCTACCTTCATATTTACCTAAATACACTAACAAGTCTATTCTCGTCTATTTACTCTGTATGATCATGCCATCTATACCTTTTGTACATTATTAAATTTCACATCTCTGCATTTTAGTTTCTTTCAGTTTGAGTTTCCCATTGTTGGGGATTGGAAGCCCATTAGGCTTAAAGAAGTCCTCTTAGGCTAATGACTGATCTTTATTTAACAGGATGCAACCGACAATAGTTGCCCGACTTTCAGGTACTGTACCTATTTACTACTTGCTTGATACCTGCTTGATAGGGTTCTGGGAGTTGTTCTACTACCCAAGCCTGGCCCGAGGCCAGGCTTGACTTGTGAGTGCTTGGTCCAACAGGTTGTTGCTCGGAGCAGCCCGCAGGTACACATATCCACCACAGCCCTGTTGGTCCGGCACTTCTTAGAGAAAACTACTGTATCTCGTTTTCTTTTGAAGATGTTCACGGTTGTTCCCGCAATATTTGTTATACTCGCTGGGAGGATGTTGAACAACCATGGGCCTCTGATATTTACGCAGTGTTCTCCGATTCATTAAGGGTTAACAGACATCAGGTGAAAGGAAACTGCCCAAAGCATCTCTGTCCTTTTTGTGGACATTTTGGCTGTGAAACGACCGAGTTGACAAACATTATAATGCTTGGTTCATGTCCATGCCACACCAGCATCTTTGCATTCGTACAATTATTGCAGCCCGCTAGCCACCTCTCTTTCCCTCCCCCCCCATCTTATTCTTCCTTAACAGGAATTTCATTGCAACACACTTTCCTTCTTGGATTTGCTCCACTTTTAACATTTACTGTATAAAATCCTTTTTTTTTAGGGGGGGGGGGGGGTTAATTACAGAGCCTCAGGTTTTAAACACAATGATGACCACACAATTTCACGCAGGCGTATCAGGTATCCTTCTCAATCCCGACTATTACCTTCCTTTTCTCCACATTAATTTTTAGCAAACTTCTTGTACATAATCATCATTGTAAGCATCTAATTTTATGAGACCCATTTATGACTTTCCTAATAACTAGGACACCTAACCTTAACTGGTATTTATTTTTATTTTTTCATAGAAGACAATACTGTATAAATTTACAGATTTAAGACATTCATATGCCCAGTTTAGTATACTGTACATACATGTCCCCTCCCATTTTGGAATTTAGGCAATTTTGCAAAATATGCAGGACTTTCCAAGGACTAATTTGAGAATCATCCTTGATTTATGAACTCTAACTTAAGTTGGAAACTGGCCAATGGATCACTGATATTATGATACAGACTATGGAGAAATGCACTATTTGGGTACAGCATAATTAGGATGACATAACCAGAAAAAGAATGTCATTTAATTATGTGTTCAATGAATGTAGCACTCCATGGGAGAGTATCTGAATAGAGCACTGTAACTGAATTGGCAGCACTTAAATATGGCGTACTGGAGTGAACAATATGGAAGAAAATGCAGAAAAGAACCAGTGAAGAGCAGGGGTGCCATAGACCCAGAGAACACCGTATAAACATCAGAGGCTCATTGTAGCTTGTTGAGCTTGAAGTATCATTGCCCCTTGTACTGCAGGTGTTACATTTGCCCTTTTAAAGAAGTGGTCTAGAACAATATCCTCCAAATTGTTCCGTATTTTAAAAGTGTCAATGAAATCACCCCTGACATATCTAATTTGCTGCGTTATTTGTCCTGTAGCCCTCAACCGTTCATGGCACAAGAGTTGAACTTATTCTGGGATGATTTATGTTGCCTGGTGTTGAACTTACTTTAAAGGAAAGATGTCCTTCTGAAGATGATCCTTAAGTCAAAGATTCATTTAACTATTCCTAAGGTTCAGTTGGGGTTTCCCCCTTCACTGCAGCTCCCACCTGTTGTGCAACTTTCAATGATTAATGATTCTGTCTCCAAGGTCCTTTTCATCATCATTCTGCTACAAGATGATAATGTTGATTTCGCCGTTATAATGTGCACTATCATGTCTCACATGCAAGGTCTTGCCTTTTTTATATATAATAAAGCATTTGCAAGTCTTCCAACCATCTGTGAAGTTCATGTAGCTTTTTTTTTTTAAGGCCTCAATATCAACTACTCTACCATAAATCTTGAAGTGTCAATTACAGAGCAAGTTTAATGATGACCCGAGTGTGTACACAAGGTACATATGTGTAAAACTACACAAGACAACAGATCCACTGTCATAAGAAATGGTTTGTTCACAGTCACCTTTCTTTTCTGGGCTATTGACACGTAATTAATTCAGTCGGGATATGTTTGGTTGTGCCAGTTGTTGCCCATCAACTCGAAATGAACTTTCTGGTAAAACTCACATATTATACTCTTAAAAATATAAATAGGTCTAACAGTATACCATGATTTGGGACAGCAAGCCTGATAAGCCTATTGGGGGTTCATGTAGCCACTGGCAGGATTTTCTGTGCAATAATCCGTCTAGTGATGACCAGATGCAATGTTGCTGCATCTACTGCATTAAGCCAATGCCAAAAAGTATACAAAAAGATATACTGAATATATGAATTTTACAACTAACCTAACCTAATCAATCCAATTATTGCAATTTGTTTTGTCAAGGACAGGAAGCCTGTGTATATATAACCTTAGGCTTGTATTAAGGTTCCCATTCCTCCAGGTCAAACTACTGACCCCTCCCAGCATGCCACTGAACAACTGTTGCCCAATTCCCAGGTGAACAGAGGCATTAGGCAAAAAGAAATGTGCCCATCCAATTGTGTCCTGCCCAGAAATTCATCCCACCCAAACCTTTGATGCATGTCACGACTTTGTGATGTTACCCCTGCGATGATGTGCGTGGTACTTTCTAAAACTTCGACCAATATTGCCTGCGAAGCACAAGGGTGCCATCTGCTATACCACAAATGTGTTTATTGCCTATGTTGCTTATTTTGACTACTTTATATTTTTCATACTGTTAATATGTTGTAGTCTGTTAAGACTTTCAGCGACTTCGTTTCTCAACTGAGGTTCTGCAGAACCTCAAGGTAACTCGGCATTCCGTAAGAGATAATGATAAGGTAATTATAATGCAATGCACATGTATTTTTCAGTCATACAACCAGTATCAAGAGCAATGACAGAAATCGTCTCCTTTCGGCTGCCAATGAAATCATGAAATCAGTGTGTTTAAGTATTTTCAAATTACTGTATTAGGATGACACAGCGTTAGGTTACGAAGGTTTGGGTTACACTGGATTAGAAAGGTTTTTAAATACAATGGCAAGCAGTCATGTGTATGCAGTTATCTATAACCATACATACAATACAATCACAAAAGTACAAGGTTACAACTTAATCTATATGGAAACAATATTTTAAAGGGAAGGGAAAGGAACTATCTGCAAAAAGTGCCAAGCCATTACAACTATATAGCACTTATAAGGGGTCAGGATAAGGATTAGGGATGGGACAGGAGGGAAAGGAATGGTGCCCAACCACTTAGATGGTCGGAGATTGAACGCCAACCTGCATGAAGCGAGACCGTTGCTCTACCGTCCACCCCCAAAGTGGTTGGCCAGACAATATTTTAAAACTACTGTATTGTTAATTACACTTTTTTTTTAAACTTGCCTTAGCAGGGTACATAATATGTGATGTCAACGAATTTAGGGTCGCAGTAGTACAGTCGGGTTTGTTCTCGACGCACAAGCGAGAATTTCGGGTTTGAATCCCGGGCGGGACGGAAATGGTTGGGCACATTTCTTTTCACCTAATACTTCTATTTATCTAGCAGTTAAGAGGTACAATACTCAGGAGTTAGTCAGCTTTTTGTGGGGGGGGGGAGGGGGGGGTGGCTGCATCCCGGGGAAGGGGGTGGGAACTTGAAATAAGCCAAGCCTGCACGAATACACTCTGGCTTCCTGTCCCCTGCCCTCTTAACCCCCACAATGAATTATTATAATGAGAAATCAGCAATCAATCTCACCTGTCTCACATTAGCAGCAACGTCAATGTCCATTATAGTTGAGCGGTGAGGAGAACGAGGCCAGGCAGGCCACCACACGCGCCAGCTACCGCCTTATGTTGGACCACACACCTCCCTTCATGGACCAGACCACGCACTGTGGACCAGGCAGACCAGACCACACACTGTGGACCAGGCAGATCAGACCACACACTGTGGACCGGCAAGACCAAACCACGCAGTGGACCAGACCACGCACTATGGACCAGACCACACACTGTGGACCAGGCAGACCAGACCACACACTGTGGACCAGGCAGACCAGACCACACACTGTGGACCAGGCAGACCAGACCACACACTGTGGACCGGCAAGACCAAACCACGCAGTGGACCAGACCACGCACTATGGACCAGGTAGACCAGACCACACAGTGGACCACACCACGCACTATGGACCAGACAGACCAGACCACACACTGTGGACCAGACCACGCACTATGGACCAGACCACGCACTATGGACCAGCTGACCGGCGACTGCGGGTTATGATCGTTTCGTATTATAACACTGGTTCGCCCACAACATCGTATATTAATTCTTGTTATTTCGCTCACAGTGCATTTCGTACAAATCAAATCTGAAACTTTATTCTTATGTAGTTGTACATTTATTTATTTATTTATCTATTTATATACAAGAAAGAACATTGGGGGGGGGGGGTTAAGAGAGAACATAGAGTTTAAGTTCAAATTACAATCTTGTAAAGTACATATATCTTGTATCATTTATCTCAATCTTGTACATTTACAATTGGGAAAGTTTACATACAAGTTACCGTACATTAATTGCACGAGTCACAATAACAGTATAGGATGTTTCACTGCCATTATCAGAATTTTAATCATACCATCTCACGGGATAGTTTATTATACATGGAATCAGGAAAGAATATGAGATGCGAGTTTAGTCTACTAGTCTGCACTAGCAAACTCTGGGTAGACCACAAAAATATCTTTCCATAGCCATGAGTGTATGAAGTACTTACAGTGCTCAACATATAACACTTGGTCTGAAGTCAATGGTAACAGGGCACGCTTTTTTTATTTATTTTTTTTACTCACATATATAGTGTTGGAGAGTGTGTCCCCAGGTCTTTTTCACATGGTTAACAAATGGAATGCTTACCTTTGATTCATAGCCTACTGACATCTGCCAAAGTCTCAATATACCTGCCTAATTCTGGAATTTACAATGTCACACTGGCTATAGTGAATATTTAATGCTGTCCCGCACATATAGTTCCCGGTTCTAAACATATCATAACTCTTTATACCAGTGTTTTCTGTCCTTTGAGTGTCAGTGATTTTTCTTGTCTATATAATCATGCTGGACAACATGTATGCGAGTCGATATCCATACAAATGAGCTTTTTGTTTAGTTAATTTATTATGCAGATTCTGGAACTCTTAATCTGCGTATACAAAATATTGCTTACAATGGATGTTTCAACATTATTTCGCATGGTGGGTTTTCAAGTGCTTGAAGAGTTGACTTTGAATTCCATTCTATCTAATACTTGCTCAACAGTTCCACTTCATCATCACCTGAATTTACCTTTACCTGAGGGCCAGCATCTCTAGTGGCCTCGACGGGGACATGAAGCCAGTGGCTTGCCAAAGGTTATCCCCCCTTCCTCATTATTCAAGATGATTTTTAGAGTTGAATTTTAAACTTGGCCCTTATGGCTTCAGTGTGTAGGCAATTCCATCGGTTTATTACCCAGTGGGTGAAAAAAATACCTCATGTTTTCTGCCCTAGATTGTGGCTTGTTGAGCTTGAAGCTGTTCCTCCTTGTATGCTGCTGCTGTTGCTTTTAAGATTCAGCTACTCGGAACAAAAGTTCCAAGTAGCACGGGCTATGGCGAGCCCATTGTGGACTTATCCTTGTATGCGTTGCACTGGACCTTTTAAAGAAGCGGTCTGGATTAATATCTCACTCAATTTGTTCAGTATTTTAAAGGTCTTGATGAGATCAGCCTTGTCATGTCTGGTTTGTAGAGTTGTTAGTCCTGTGGTCTTGAACCGTTCCTGATAAGAGAGAGTTGGCTTAGTTGTTGTTATAGATTCAGCTACTCGGAACAAGTTCCAAGTAGCACTGGCTATGGTGAGCCCGTAACTTACCTGGCACAGGAGCGGGGCAAGTAGCACGGGCTATAGTGAGCCCGTAACTTACCTGGCACAGGAGCGGGGCAAGTAGCACGGGCTATGGTGAGCCCGTAACTTACCTGGCACAGGAGCGGGGCAAGTAGCACGGGCTATGGTGAGCCCGTAGTAGACTTACCTGGCACAGGAGCGGGGCTGTAACTTGTCACCCGAACGAATAGCCCGTTGGAGTTGGCTTAGTTCTGGGATGATTTAGTCGCTCTACGTTGAACTTTCTCCAAAGTAAATATATTTCCACCTCACTATCTCCACCTCATCCTCGCTTGCCACCTCATCACCTCACAATCGTCACATCATTCTTTTCTCCTCCTGGCTCCTCTTCCCTTTACCACACACACACAGGCCAGTAACATTATGCAGTAATAGTAATAATTAAGAACACTAAGAAATTTGTATAACATCAGGCATAATAATACTACTATTAATTATAAACATTTATATATAAAATACAAGGAGGGGGGAGGAACACAACGTTTAGGAGGCCTGGTCGACGACCGGGCCGCGAGGACGCTAAGCCCCGGAAGCACCTCAAGGTAACCTCAAGGTAACCAAGGGGGTACCCGGGAGAGAGTCTTTTACCCCATTCCACCCCTCTTCCTTTTCCTTTCTCACCACTCTTCCTTTCCCTTCACCGATTCCTTTCGTCCTTCCTCTGGTTCTCCTAGTCTCTTCTCACCCTTTCACTCTCTTCCCCACTCATCACCCAATCTCCCTCTTGACCTCGTCCTCATCCCTTTGGTCCCTCCCTCTCCCCCCTTGTCTCAGAAAAAAATGTGTTATTAAGAAGCACTAAAACCACTGTATGCGTCTCTTGAGAAAATATAGTCTTACCACTAAAACTCTAGGGGAATCACTCCATATTTTTCACATATTACGCCTTTATATTGCATAGGGGGCGTTTATAAATGCTAATATTTCTTAAAGCATTTAACTTTGGCTTACACCGATCAGCCTATTTCCGTTCCCTACCCCAGACCAGTCCCCTCTCTCCCCACCGTACAAGCCTGGATGAGGCTAGCCCACACATCTGGCCTCCAACTCTGGACACTCTCTGTCCTATAGTATATACATATGTTGACAGACATACATATATATCTACAGACATAACAGCAACAGTAATAAACCACAACCCAACCTATCCTTAAAGAAACTTAACCTAACGAAAATAAAATATATATTGTGCATGAGACGTCACTAAGGCGCCATGATGTCCACACACCTACAGGCTTCGGGTCCACGTGGAGTAAACCACAGCAGAAACCTAAAATTACACGAGAAGCACAGTAAAAGGCCGTCAGAGTTGTGGGTCACCGTGTACCGCCTCCTCAGATGTGACGCGTCATGGTTGTTGTCATATAAGGCGCGCAATACCATGGAAGCTCGCTTGGACCACCCTAGCGTTCGTATTTATTTATTTATTTATTTATTTATTTATTTATTTATTTATTTATTTATTTATATACAAGAAGGTACATTGGGTTGTGAGAGTACGTAATATCAGTGTTCTTGTAAAGCTACTTCCTCATATTCATATTCCTTTCGTCTACAGGTGGGGCAATACATCTTTGTTTGCCAAAATGCTTACATTTATTTATAGTAAAAATTGATCCCAAATATACGTGCAGAGAGAGATAGAGAGAGAGAGGTCGATTGTCCGTCAAATGAGTAAATACAATTATTGTATGCATTATTCAAATATATTTAGAGTAAATTTTGAATTCATTGCGAATTTACCCGCATACAAGGGTCGGTTAATACTCCAGATTGGAAAATACATTATCTGGCTTCAGGATATGATATATACTGTAAACAAAATACGAAACCATAGCAATAAAAGGTGTTGTCTGACTGTTTAATTATCTCAACTGGACCATCGGGCATCGAACGCCGACCCTGCAAGAACCTAAACTGGAGGAGGATGATACTAGGGGCGATATGTATTGTATGAACTTACCATAGGGCCACTAACACTACTGGCTTCGACGAGGACAGGAAGCAGGCGGCTTGTCAAGGGGTCCCCTTCCCCCCATTTGCCCAGAGGTATATACATACGGATCAGCAATATCTCCTCTGGAAATACAGCACCGATTCGAATATATTAAATTTGCTTCCCATTAAAATGTATTCATTTTTTTGCTACTTGATTAATTTAGAGAGTTAGTTTAGTTTAGTTAATTTATTATACACCCCATACCCATCTTGTGGGCGGTAGTGGAAGGGGTTACAGAGGCACATAATGGGCTCAGGGACTGAACCCCACAATTCATTAGCTAAGCAAGTTACAATCTTGATGAGCTAGTTACAAAATTCAGTATAAGTCGTTACATCAACAATGGGTTCGAGATCGACCACAAGTACAGTTTCTAAATTAAGCAACTGACATATGTGGAGAGCTAGTGTCACAATTGATATGTTTGTCCTGCACACCGCCCCCCCCCCATCCAGTGGGCAGCGGTGGATAGGTTACAATCACTCAAGTTACTACCTACAGTTAGCAAACTGGGGATATTTGGCTAAAAATTCTGGTAGCAGATTATTTTGAATGAAATATTTACACATCGTTGGAACATTGGTTATAGAATTGTCTCTAAATTCACGTATCTTTTCGCACTCCATCACATAGTGACGGAGGGTGTGCGAATAATTTTGTTGACACAGTTTACACTTGGTCAGATCTACATCGGTAGATAATGAGAATTCCCAGAGATACTTGAAACCGAGTCTATGTCGAGCAGCAGTAACATCTAGAAGTCTGCTGATTTTATTGAATGATCCATAGATGTGTGGCTCCTCTTGCATGATAATATGATGATAGATGGAATTACTGGTGTCAATTTCACTTTGCCTCAGATCTACAAGATCTTGTTGAAGTTCTCGGTGTACTGCTGCTCTCAGATTGCTCATTGACAATCCAAGGTTACACTCAACGGCTCCTTTAAAGGCAGAGTCTTTGGCTAACTTATCAGCTCTATCATGCATTCGGAGGCCAACATGAACATAAGAACATAAGAACAAAGGTAACTGCAGAAGGCCAATTGGCCCATACGAGGCAGCTCCTATTTATAACCACCCAATCCCACTCATATACATGTCCAACCCGCGCTTGAAACAATGGAGGGACCCCACCTCCACCACGTTATGCGGCAATTGGTTCCACAAATCAACAACCCTGTTACTGAACCAGTATTTACCCAAGTCTTTCCTAAATCTAAACTTATCCAATTTATACCCATTGTTTCGTGTTCCGTCTTGTGTTGATACTTTTAATGGGATGGAGACCACATGAAATGGACTCTGTTACCATCCTTAATAATTTTGTTGTATTTGTGTCTAGCTTCGGACACGAGCATGTTACAGTTCCTTACTTTCTAAGAAGTAAGATGAAGAAACAAAACTCATCGCCACAACAAAACATACAAAACAAGAGAAAAAAAAGAAAGTTAGCATCTCCCCGGACAAACCATCAGGTAGGAGGGACACGACCCCATCCCCCAGGAGAGGTTCCCCAACTCGTAGGAAGACAAAAAGCAGAAGCAAAACACCTACAGACAGAGACACATCACACACCCATAAACCCTCCCTCCCCAAAGTGCGATCTCGCCCCCGCAGCACTGGACGCCCTCGAGCCTCAACCCCGGCCAGGCGCGGTTCGGGAAACGGCAGGTCCAGGACGCCGCCCCCCCCCCCGATCAAACAGAGGGGACAAGAAAGAGGGACAGAACCCCCAGAAAGCGTCCTCAAGGGGGAAGAGGAAGAGGGAACGGGTCGAGAAATGGCGACAGGAGCTGGTACACGAGGCGGAGGGAGAAGAAAAGAAAGAAGGAACTGGTGAGACAAACAGTGGTCTCCGAGGTCCGAATTACGGACGAGGAGAGAGAGCTCCTGGGGAAAGGGCTTACCTTTGTCCCGGGACCCCCCCTCCTCCACGGCACAAGAGAATTGAGTATGTCAATGATGCCATGAGATCCTTGGAGGACAAGGTCAACGAGACGTGGTCGAGACTAAGAGTTACAGAACAGAGGTTAGACACTTCCCCCCCTCCCCGAACACACAGGGGTCCCCGTTCACTCTCAGCAGAGTATATGAGCCTCCCTCTCCAGAAATCCCAAACCCCCTTCAAACTCAATGGCCTAAGTGACTGTATGAACCGCTTGACTTCCTCTCTTATAGCACAGGTAGAAGAACGCCGGCCGTATAACCTCCAACCGGAACTCCGTTCAGCCCTGCGACGATTAGAAGCAAGAAGGGACATTGTCATTAAACCAGCGGACAAAGGAGGGGCAGTGGTAATCTTGAAAAAAGAAAATTACTGCAGGGAAATGGATAGACACCTGATGGACGGGACGACATACCAAGAGGTGACAAACGGGGAGACGGCCCTGAGGAACGCCCAGACTAGGAGTAAGTCTCTGGTACTGTCTCTTTCCAGGAATAATGGCAGGGGAGGCATCCTGAAACCAGCAACCAGGGATTTCTTTTTAGCCTTCCGCTCGAAGTTGCCGAACATCTACCTCCTCCCGAAAATTCATAAAGGCATAGATCCAATTACAGGCACATGGCCCGGCCGCCCAGTCCCAAGCGGCTGCAGTGCCCCGACCCGCCCAATCGACAGACTCTGTACAGCACTACTGAACCTTCTACTCAGACTCCTGGACGAACGGTTAGTAGATACAACGGATTTCTTAGTTAAAATAGACGAAGTGAATAAGAAATGGGGCCCTGTCCCAGATGGTGCAACTCTCTTCTCCCTAGATATAGTATCCCTGTATCCAAGTATTCCCCACAGAGAAGCAGCAACGGTGGTTACAGACTACTTCGAAAGGAACGTACACCGGATCCGCAGGGACCTGAAAGAAGCAGGAATCTATACCCCTCCATCGAAGAACCTCCGCATAGAAGCCATTCTACATGTGATGCGGGATACGATCCTGACCTTTGAAGGTAAGACCTACAGACAAATCAAAGGAACAGCGATAGGAGCCTCGAGTAGCGTAGTCATCGCGGAGATCTTTGTTCACGTGGGTTTCGAATCTAGGAGAGAAGACTTACCAACGGGACCAAGGATATATTACAGATATATCGACGACATATTCGGTATAATGCTGGGACCACCAGGGAACCTGGACGTGTTCTATTCATAGGCAAATTCAGTACACCAGAACCTGAGTTTTACGATAGACAGGAGTGAAACAGAGCTAAACTTTCTGGACACGACCGTCTACATAAACCCAGCAACACGACAATTGGAGACGAAGGCTTTCTACAAGCCGACAAATCTCCATACATACTTGCAGTACCACTCCAGCCATCCACAACCACTTAAGAATTCGCTCCCCTACTCCTTGGGCCTGAGACTGAAGAGAATCAACACATGCCCCCACTCCCTGGGGGAACAACTTGAGGACCTGTGGACCTTTTTCAGGAACAGGGATTATCCTGAGGAAGTGCTCAACAAAGCAGCGAGGAAGCTGGAACAAAAGATACGGGAGGAACTATTCCAACACACCGGAAAGAGACACCAAGACAGAGACATCTTGGTGACAACCTACTTTGATGGCTTCGAGAAACCCATGAAGCAAGTGATGAAACGACTCTGGACCTGGCTGGAACAGAAGTTTGGAGATCACCCTTCATGGAGGAAGTTTCCTAAGAGCCCACCCATGCTAGCCTGGAAGCGAAATAAGTCCCTGAAGGATAAATTGGTCTCGGCGGCATTAACAAATACAAGGGAGATCCAAGACACGAGACGGAGCAGCGCGCATTAGAAATCCATTAAAAATCAATTAGGGATGAGTGACAGTATCCGTGGACATTAAGAAAACTGCTCTTGGGGATGAAGTGAACTAGGGGGAACACATTGGCCACATGACACAAAGTTGAGTTGAGGCCCATCAATTAAAAACCTATGCTCTCAACTCTTAAAGAGTTGAGAGCATTTAAGGAATGATAAGGAGTCACTTACAATTAATGTATCAAGTTTGGAGACTTGTACAAGTAGCAACAGACTTGCCATTATCCATATTGTTAGTGCAACGACGCTGAGCTGGCCTCAATATAAAGTTAACAAATGTGACTTTCACTCTCGAGGAAGCGAGCTGCGGTGTTGCTGGGCTGTGTTGATGGGTTGTGAGGCTAGGCTGTGTTGATGGGTTGTGAGGCTAGGCTGTGTTGATGGGTTGTGAGGCTAGGCTGTGTTGATGGGTTATGAGGCTAGGCTGTGTTGATGGGTTGTGATGCTAGGCTGTGTTGATGGGTTGTGAGGCTAGGCTGTGTTGATGGGTTGTGAGGCTAGGCTGTGTTGATGGGTTGTGAGGCTAGGCTGTGTTGATGGGTTGTGAGGCTAGGCTGTGTTGATGGGTTGTGAGGATAGGCGCTGTGTTGATGGGTTATGAGGCTAGGCTGTGTTGATGGGTTGTGAGGATAGGCGCTGTGTTGATGGGTTATGAGGCTAGGCTGTGTTGATGGGTTGTGATGCTAGGCTGTGTTGATGGGTTATGAGGCTAGGCTGTGTTGATGGGTTGTGATGCTAGGCTGTGTTGATGGGTTGTGAGGCTAGGCGCTGTGTTGATGGGTTGTGATGCTAGGCTGTGTTGATGGATTGTGAGGCTAGGCGCTGTGTTGATGGGTTGTGATGCTAGGCTGAATTGATGGGTTGTGATGCTAGGCTGTGTTGATGGGTTGTGATGCTAGGCTGTGTTGATGGGTTGTGATGCTAGGCTGAATTGATGGGTTGTGATGCTAGGCTGAATTGATGGGTTGTGATGCTAGGCTGTGTTGATGGGTTGTGAGGCTAGGCGCTGTGTTGATGGGTTATGTGGCTAGGCGCTGTGTTGATGGGTTATGAGGCTAGGCGCTGTGTTGATGGGTTGTGATGCTAGACTGTGTTGATGGGTTGTGATGCTAGGCTTGTTGATGGGTTGTGATGCTAGGCTGTGTTGATAGGTTGTGATGCTAGGCTGTGTTGATAGGTTGTGAGGCTAGGCGCTGTGTTGATGGGTTATGAGGCTAGGTTGTGTTGATGGGTTGTGATGCTAGGCTGTGTTGATAGGTTGTGATGCTAGGCGGTGTTGATAGGTTGTGATGCTAGGCTGTGTTGATGGGTTGTGATGCTAGGCTGTGTTGATGGGTTGTGATGCTAGGCTGTGTTGATAGGTTGTGATGCTAGGCTGTGTTGATAGGTTGTGATGCTAGGCTGTGTTGATGAGCCGTCCTGCTCAGCAGGACAAACAGTACGAGAATAAACAGCAAAGAACAAACAAGACGACAAACCGCAAGAATAAACAAACAAGACTAACAAACAGTAAGAGAGCAAACAGGCAAACAAACATCACACAAACAAACAGTAAGAGGACCAACGGTATAGCCACGATGGCCGGTCCCATCTCTGTTATGTAGTCAACAGATAGACAGGTGAGAAACCTTTCTTCTAAATGCAATTGTAACCCATTCTCGGTGACTCGTGGGAGTCTCCTCTCGGCCTTTCACCACTAGCGCGTCTCCTCGGCCCACCGACCAATCAGAAACGAGCCTCAAGGTAAGCCGAGTAGGGCATTGGGTCGCGTATATAAACATGGAGGACTGTGCGGGAGCGTTTCATTGTAATTTCAACAACAGCGGTGCACTGACGTTTGCCAAAATCTATACAGGTGCTGTATATTAACGGACATACACGCGTTTATTTAAAAGACAAATTTTTGTATTTGTTGAAAAATAAGGTCAAAGTAACGCAAAATCATATCTATATTGTTTATATAATTTTTAATTATATATCGACCATACTGCGTTATTAGGGCTTCAGTAGCTTGTAACTTATAAAATATCCATAAAGCCTTATAAAGTACGTGCCTATAAGGCCTACGAAAAATAAAACGAAGCACTTTCTTCCCTCCCCATTCCTACAGAATATATATTTTTTAAAGGGATACCGAGTTATTGGTTTACAACTTTCTCCCCATTAATATTTTACCTTCCTCAGCTCTTAGTCTGTCTTGTATCCCTTTATATGATCATAGTGGCTTAGCCCTCTCTCCGTATACTTCCCTTTGCTTTTCAAGACCAAAATCTGTCGAATTTTCAGACCAAACCTAATTGCTCGTCTACAGATTTCTGACCATAGTTTCCAGTCATGTGGTGGCTGATGTTAAAACCTTTATGGGGGATGTGGGGGGGGGGACCCTCGACAAGCCGCCGGCTTCCTGTCCTCGTCGAGGCCACTGTAGAGTTAGTAGCTCTCAGGTAAACTCGGGTAAACCTGATGTTTAAAAGCTTCGTGTTCGTGTTGTTGGGTAAAGTATAAGGCCTTACCCAAATCCTCTCCTAAGAGTTAACCACTAACCTTACCCCAAGGATGCTACGCCACAACAGTTACCTAACTCCCTGGTAACTATTTGCTGCTAGATGAAGAGAAGCATTAGATGAAAGGAAACAATGCCCAAACGCTTCCGTACCGCCGTTGGCCTGTGGCGCCGACTGTGCTGACAGCGTAAGGGAACGTTAAGGAACACAATCCAACCTTACGTCATGTTATATTTGCCTTGTTGGTGCTCTTTTGATGAAATTTCTATTCCAGCATTTTATATTCCAGCATTTTTGTTTTCAAGGCAAACTAAACCAAATTGAAAAAGTGTTGAGTTTGGCGGGCGTGTGTGTGTGTTAGAGAGGTCATGATGGTGGTGATGATGGTGATGATGGCGTGTATGGTGACCACTGCGGCAGGGATGAGTGACCACGTGCCCCTGGAGGCCTGCAAGAGCATGATACCAGAAGGGCATGGGGCAGGTGCCCAGACGTCGCGGCCCCCATATACCCTCAGCGCACAAAGCAATGCCCTGGCGACTGGCCCTCAAGTCACCGGTAGGTATATCTCTTATTTTAAGTCAAAGGTGTGTGTTATTTCTAGGCCAATGACCAGGTAGATTTTAATTATTAATTTCACCTACTGGGTGAACAGGTGCAAACAGTTAATTGGTGCGTGTCCATCTGTTTTTCGCTTGCCAGGGTTTCGAACCCGGGTTGATATGTAAGTTTTAGACCTGGAGTCTCTGCATGGTCTTGCCCACTTGGTCTGCTGTCTTCAGACCACCTCAACATTACGAAAGCGTTGCTAGAAATCCCCGTTAACAAACACTTGGGGTTAATCACCAGAAACACTTGGGTTTAATTACTAGTTTACATTACAGAATTCAAGTAAAATATTTCTTAAATTTCTATCCCTCTCAGATCGAGGCGGAGGTGGTAATCTAGTGAATCCATACTCATCCTTAAAGAATGAGTCTATGTAATTTATTCTCATCCTTAAAGAATGAGTCAAGGGAATCATCTTATTTTCTTGAGATGTCCCGGTCGCTTTTACCTGCATTTACTGGCGATTACAGCGTTAATAAAGGACTCCCAAACCAGTACAATCATTCCTGAATATCAGTTGTTCCTCATAGTGAACTCACTATATACTCAATTTTAAGAGTGGTTACCTCGTAATTATGCATTCAAACAACCATCGTTTAGCCTGCCACGATTGTCTGAACACAAGTCCCTGTAACTGTATTGGTTATGCGATAACGAACCTAAACATTACTCCTGTGTCGTTCAGGGTGTTAAATATACTATTTGGTATTTATAGAACCAGTCAGACTGGTTCTATAAATACGAATCTTGTTTTTCTGCGTCCGCGATATCTTGCTTCCAGTGACCAAGTTGTGAAACTCCGACCATTATGGTGTAACTCGGGAGTGAAGGCCACTAGTCCACTTAAACCCTGACCACGCTTGGCTTTCACCATTACCGTCCAAACGCGCTGTGTACCGTCTATCCCGTACTGTTCCACTTGTTTGTGATTCCGGCCTCTCTCTCTCTCTCTCCTCCACACAATTTGTTTTTCTTCTCCATTCTCCCGTTTTCAGTTTCTAGTAGGGTCTAAGACCTGAGAAAAGTATGTATCCTTTTACGTCATCGATAAAAAAAAAAAACTTACCTAACCCTACCTAGCCTAATCTTACCTAAGTTAACCCAACTTAACCTGACCGAACTTCACCTAACAGAAATAAGAGACAAAATGTTGTGTTTTTTTTTTTTTTTTTTTGTGTGTGTGTGTGTGTGTGTGTGTGTGTGTGTGTGTGTGTGTGTGTGTGTGTGTGTGTGTGTGTGTGTGTGTGTGTGTGTGTGAGTGTGTGTGTGTGTGTGTGTGACGTCACTATGACGTTACAATGTTCACATTAGTACAGGTTTTAGATCCCTACCATTTTGTGCTTCTGTCTTCCTTAATTTCACCATGATTTTAGCTTGAGTGTACATCTCTCAATTGTAAACTCACTAAAAAGTATACCTCTCGGCATATACTCACTAAAACAGGTCGACGGTGTATATTATATGTATCATTATACTTCTCGGTGTATATACTCATTAAAAAGCTCACCTTTCATGCATACTCACCAAAAATATACTTCTCGTTATAGACGCCGAGACACTTTCTAGGTATATGTATCTCCTTATACATATACCAAGAAATTCCTCTCCTTATACATACCAAGAAATACACATTATAGAGGCTATATTATTAATATATTAAGATTACAGAGGCCCAAAACGCATTTGGCTAGGCTAGTTAACTGCCTTGATAGGCTATTACACTATTATTATAACTCTCTCTTAGGTAAACAATTCACTTTAAATTTGTGTCATCCTAACTATAAACAAACCAGACATCTATGAATATTTCAATTTCTATTACAACAAAAAAGCATCAAGTTGAATAGCGTTTCGCCTTCATCGTGATGTTCGGGATACTGATGATGCTGTTATTACAGTCCAGCTTGAAGGGTTGGGCTCCGGCGCCAAGTTTAAGGGGTTCTTCGTTAGAGCCTTCGACAGCTCCTCTAGCAGTTCCCTCGGCTCTTTCACCAGAGCTCCCAAGACTATTGACTGTGACGGTCAGGCGGTGAGTACTGTGGTGGTGTGGTGATTGTGGTGATTGATTGATTGATGAAGATTAAGCCACCCAGAAGGTGGCACGGGCATGAATAGCCCGTAAGTGGTGGCCGTTTGGAGCCATTACCAGTATCAAGAGCTGATACTGGAGATCTGTGGAGGTGGAGGTGCGACTGCACCCTGCGTGACGGGAGATGTCTCCCGTGGATTGTGGTGGGTGCTGATTGTGATATTGTGATGGCTACTGACTGTGGTGGTTCAAAATATCTTCAAGTAACATTAAATGAATATTAATTCAATGTTAACACATCCTCGCTTCTCTAGGCTTGCCTTCTAGGGATTACAATCCTTTCAATTGTATGTTTTTTTTTCCTTGGATAAATGCAGCATATCCTATCATGGTGTCATGGTCTTGAATAGCTTATAACTCAACCAACCCTATACTTAGCCAGTTGGTTGTCAACTGGCTAAGTCATTCTTGAATGTCATTCTAAGTCATTAAGAATGTCATTCTAAGTCATTAAGAATGTCACTGACTACAATAAAGTTGTAGTCAATGACATTCTTATATCTTTAGTTTCAAGGTATGTTGCAAAATATCCAGATGATATTATCACTTATGTCACAAATTGTCTTAACAACGGGCAATGTTATCAAAAACATTGACTTTAGGCTACTATATCAAGGATCATTATGTTGGAACAAAACTTTATTCGCGTAGTTTCCTAAAGTTATTGAAGTTAAGAATACTCTACATGCACATATGTTATTTTGAACTTTAAGAAACTTCAACTTTCCAAAGCATTAAGGTTTCCTTTTTCATTGCGGGGAACTAGAAGGGCTTATCGAGGTCATCTTAGGACCTGGGGCAACGACTAACCTTTCACAGGAAGCAATCCACAACAGTTGCCTAATTCCCGGGTACCTATATACTGCTCCGTGCACAGAGGTACAAAGGAAAAGTAGCCAAACGACTACTCGTAACCAACCTGGGAATCGAATCCGGTACAGTTCGGTTTGTGAACCGATTGTGCATATCTTTCAATTCCGAATTATATTAGCTCACAATATAAATACCTGCTTTATGGGGTTCTGGGAGTTTTTCTACTCCACAAGCCCGGCCCGAGGCCAGGCTTGACTTGTAAGAGCTTGGTTCAATAGGCTGTTGCTTGGAGCGGCCCACAGCCTGGTTGGTCCGGCACTTCTTGAAGAAAACTATCTAGTTTTCGCATGAAGATGTCCATGATTGTTTCAGCAATATTTCTTATATATTGTTCCTTTTGTTGAAATGCTCCTTTGTTCATACAAAGGACTCATACAAAATATAAATGTTCCTTTGTTCATACATGAACTTTCTGATTTTGATGAGTTCATTTTTCAGTCGGGAGCTCACCACGCAAATCCGGACCCTAAGCGATCAGTGACACTGACATGGGTTCCTCCTCCAGGATACACCGGCTCTGTTATCTTCTTGTGAGTATCTTATCTACAAATATCCACAGTTTACTAACACAATGGACAGTGTAGAACTTTCTTCATCAAAGAACTTTTCAGAGAGGGGGCGGGAACTCGACAGTTTCTCAAACTTGCTCACACGCTTTCCAATTTTGTGTACATACTTTACTAGGCAAATGCTCCAACTTTGTCTAAATGATCACCAACGTAACTTTAAAATCAAGAAAATAAAAAATAATTATAAAATTGCATATTAAAAATTTCAGATTTTCAAATCATCTTCAAAAATATAAAATATCACCAATTGTTCATTTGGTGTTATTATTCTCTCAGAATAGAATATGATCTTCATTTTCATTGATTTAGAATATAGGTTTTCAGTATAGTTTACTGTAAAATAAATCGTGAATATGCCATTTGAATATGCGCCAAATTTATATAAAAAAGTATAACTCCAAACTTTTAGGGTTTATGAGAAATTCAATCTATAGGATTGTAGAACAGACAGCTGTGCACACTATATGTAAAAATTGTGAGAATCGGTCAGAAACTGGATTTTTGAAGCTGGGTCGAAGTTTAAATTCTAGTTATGGATATAATTGAAGTTGAAGTTATCGACAATGAATAAGGTAGTTTTAACTCATTAATTTACTTGTATGTTTTTATAAACATTGTTTGGCATTTGTACTCGAATATGTGAAAGTTGTAGGTCAATATGTGTTTAAATGAGGTCAAGAAAAAATACCCCCCCCAAACAAACGAAATATAGGATTAAATATAAAGATTTATGGGGGATCTATATGTAGATTTTATATAAGTGATAAAGCCCTAATCTGGTCCGTAATCATCAAAACAACCTAAAGAGACAAAGCAAATAGAGTTTGAAATCTTTGAACAAATCCGGCCAAAAAAAAATTACCCCCCCAAAAATATTTTTAGGACATTGATAAAAGTAACATATATCAACATTGGGCAATGTATTTATATGATATATAACAAAATAGAGCATAATAACATACTCGTTATTAGTTGTGTTATGTATTACTCAGCAATGCCATAAAAGCAGCTACATGTCCACTTTGTGGACACTTCTTACTACTATTCTTCTTTCTGCGTCGGACAGGTGCTTGCATCTTTTTATTACTGCATTATCCCTCAGTTCCAGTTATTAGGAGCTGTTCTCCTTATCAACAAAACGTTCTTTAAAAACAACAACAAAATCGTCTGAAATCCATTTCTGAAAATATTGGAATGAAACTTTCACGACGCTGAAGCCAATAAGTTGGAGATTTGTTTAACATTGATAAGTAATTTTCACATAATTCTAATATTTTTTCGTTTCCCGGCCCCCCTTTTTAATGAAGAAAAAGAGATATAGGATCACAGGCTAAACATCTGGAGGATGTTGTTCTTTTGTTTCAAATTTAAAATTCATCTCAAACTTAAAGGTGTTTAAAAGAGCTTATAATGATGTGCGTTATACATATTTTAGTATTTAACTGCATTCAATATCAGTTTATAATTTGACTTTTTGGTAGGGATAAAACACGTGTTTGCTATTTTAAATTGGCTCACTGATTTTAGCTCCTTAGCTTCTTATGGCTAACAATATCATAGGAAAGTCTATATATAAATATATTTATTTATAAAAATATATTTATTTTTGTCCAACAAAACAAAAACTAGCTTCAATAATGAAAATGACAAATAATGCTCTCTGGTGGGTATTTTCCTAACCCATTTTCTTTCTTTATTTATTTTTGAACAATGAATGAGGGTTTGCCTACACTCAAACTACTAGATATAATCTAGTATCATGCAATATGCTTGATAATGCTAGTTAAAAATAAAAGGCCTTGAATTATTTTCGAGAGCCTAATGGCTGTCGTGAGGCTTCTCTCTATTTTGACGCCCATCTTCTCAAAATGAAAGTACTTGTAGTGAACAATGTGGCCGATCGTACAGGTATGAACGTAATGGACCAAAATACTTTTTTGTATTATTGAATTTGGACATGCCGGAAAAGGTTTTCTATTTATGTTGCTAATGAAACCTACCCATTCTAGGTTGGGTAGGTTTCAGGATTTTTTTCAAGTAGGTTTTTAATAAGAACATAAATTATTGACTTAGTTATGCTAGTTTAAGTTAGGTTAAGATAGGTTAGGTAGGGTAGGTTAGGTTCGGTCATATGTCTAGAGAAGACAGGTTGACCCTTAGTACTATTATGGCAGGAAAGATTGTAGACATACTGTATTCAATTAGGTAACTAGCTTATCAAGACTGTAACTTGCTTAGCCAAATGAATTCTGGGGATTCAGTTCCATGATGTCTCCCTCTTTGCATAAGAAAACTTTTAAATATGTTCATATTTGTAAACTAAACATTCATATACCGTGTATATAAGTTGAACTCTAAGTTTAGATTATGGACATTTGAATATAAATGCATCTATGGTTATAAGAGAGAATAGCTGCCTGTCAGCAGGACAGATGCAAGGGGCTAGCCTCACTAAAATATGTAATTGATCCATGTTTTGTTCCAGGGCAACTGTGGTACAGTCTCAGAAGGTGTTTTGGATCAACATTAAATCCAATACCGTGACTCTAAGCTGATCATCTATTTTGTTTTTCCTATGCTATATATTGTATGATTATCACTCCTTTGACGGCGATCAATATATATATAATTTGTCATTAAATAAAGTGTTGTTAATCTATATATATACCATTTGTTTATTCAGTGTAGAATTTGTCTGAAAAATATAGGCAATTGAAATGTAATTTTAAATCTCAAAAATTGTGGCATTGATATATATATATATATATATATATATATATATATATATATATATATATATATATATATATATATATATATATATATATATATATATATATATATATATTCACTGTATAGAGGACACTCAATTGACACCACAACCAACTGCTATGAGAATTCCAAAATATAGTTTTTATTGTTAAAGAAAACAGAGTTTAATTTCCGCTGTCGGGGACAGGACGCCTGTACATATATTGAAATTTTACTCTAGTCGTGGAATATTTTCTGAATAAAACTAAACTTGCTGGTTGGTCACTATAAGTTAGTGTGCTGGCCTTAATAACCCTCCAGCGTTTGATAAGCCTTAAGCCCAACAGTAAACCAATATTTTCATGTATTCAAGGTGGACACAGAATTATTAAAGCCTATTAACACAGACTTTACACAGGTGGACACAAGTCTATTAAACACAGAATTTGCAACTTTAATACAAGCTCTTTAATTATCAGTACAATTTGCTGATATATTGACCAACCAGCAAGTATACTTTAGACCTGAACATAGGGCAGGACTAATGTAAACTCTGGTTTATCTCCCAGTTTACATGTTGAAGAATTTTGGTCGGTGTTGGGCCTAAGGCCTATCACCCTCTGGAGGATTATAAAGGCCACCACAGTAAACTACTGATCAACCAGCAAATATACTTTAGTCCTGGAGGTAGTCCAGGATTAATTTAAAGTATACTCGCAGTGTATATATACACCGAGGAACGAGTCAACCTCTCGGTGTATATATATATATATCCCTGTTGATAAATTATTTGAATTGCACGTTTTAAGATATTTTAACATTGGATAACACGTCAGATCGAATTATTTATATAATAGAAATTATAAGGAGAGGTATAACTAACATATTCACATAGATCTCCATTTCTTAACATTGTACATCGCTTATTAATAAAATGGTGTACTAACGGTTCCGTTATCACTGTTTACCGCTGAGAATGATAATGAGGTGTGCGAGGAGCTCAACAAGAGATTCCGGGTCTTCACAATAGGTCTGAATTTGAATTTGAATTGAGCAAGGAAATTCTTAACCTAAGAGAACGGCGGCGGAGTGGGGGGTCATTACACCAGGGCCAACTAAAGGATTCTGAGAGCAGCAGTGGGGAGGTAAGGAAGCATCTGCTGGAACTAGATGTGATAAAGACTGTTGTTGGTTCAGATGGAATCTCACTCTGGGTGCTAAAAGGAGAGGCAGAGGCACTATGCTTGCCACTCTCCATCGTGTATGATAGGGCACTGGTAACAGGCGAATTACCAATGGCAGTTGGAAGATATAAAGCTGTGTAGTCTGCCTGTGCCACTTCACTTTATTACCAAGATAAAGGTTTCAAGCTTGTACTACATATTACAGAATTGGTATAACATATGTGGAATAAAAGCTCTTGAATGTAAATCAGTTCTCCTATTGCCCATCCTTGCATATGCAGCCGGTATTCTTCTCCACGTCTCTGGGAGCCGGTCGGCCGAGCGGACAGCACACTGGACTTGTGATACTGTGGTCCTGGTTTCGATCCCAGGCGCCGGCGAGAAACAATGGGCAAAGTTTCTTTCACCCTATGCCCCTGTTACCTAGCAGTAAAATAGGTACCTGGTGTTAGTCAGCTGTCACGGGCTGCTTCCTGGGGGTGGAGGCCTGGTCGAGGACCGGGCCGCGGGGACACTGAAAAGCCCCGAAATCATCTCAAGATAACCTCAAGATAACTCAAGATAACCTCTGTCCGGTTCCAAAAGAATTTTCTCTCCCATGTGGTATCCTGTGTCCGGCTCTCCTGTCCTCTGCACCGAGTTTCGTGACATTGCACTTGTTTGAGATAAACCCTAGTAGCCACTTGATGGAACATTCTTATATTTTATCCCGGTCATAGTGTAGCTCCTTGCAGTTTTCAATCTATTTTATCCTCATACGTTTTTGGGATCCCATCAGCCAGTACTGAGTCCAGAATCCAGAAAACTCGCAATTGTTGGAGGTCAACCTCCAGAAACATCACAATCGTCGGGGTCAACCCCCAAAAATAATACAATAGTCGGGGGGTCAATCCCCCCTTAAACATCACAGTTATAGGAGGTCAACCTCCAGAAATATCACAATCGTCGGGGTCAACCCCCAGAAAAATTACAGTTGTGGGAGGTCTACCTCCAGAAACATTCCTGACTTGTTTAATGCAGTTAACCGCACTCTCCTTGAGTTTTTATGCAAATTAAGTTACGTTAAGTTAGGATTAGTTAGGATAGGCTATGTTAGGTTGGAAGGTTAGGTTAGGTTTTAACCTAGATTTGGTAAGGTTTAGTTAGGTCAGATTGGGTTAGTTACTGCAAATAAAGTACTTGTAGACATACCGTCAAATGTAACAAACCAAAAATTAACGATTCTTCGCGGCAGGGGATCGTATTCCAGGGACCTGCCAGAAACGCTACGCGTACTAGTGGCTGTACAAGAATGTAACAACTCTTGTATATATCTAAAAAAAAAAAAGGCAAAAATAGTAATAGTCAAAATAGGCATCACTTGACGTAGGAGAGCAAGGGAGGCGGAAGCAACAAATGGTTCAATCAGCTGGTGTTGTTTGCCACCCCTTCCCCTTCTCTGTTTGTTGACGCGTCGCCACGGCAACCAGGAATGTCTGCTATATAACAAATGACGATCGTCGACCGTTTGCCATAAACCAACATCATACGCAAGAGTCTCCCCTCTCGTTCCACATTTCTAATGTCCGTCGGTATGGTATAATTTTTAAAAATTCGGGCTTGAAATAAAATTTGAAACGCGGTAATCCTAGGCTACATGGACGAGCGTTCGAGTCAGGTGATAAATATAACCCAACTAATTAGTTAATTTGTATCGCCTAATTATAAGTAATGTGGCAACGAATCGTTAAATACATTATTTAAACGTGCGAGAAAATCGATGATCAGACGCACTTTAGGAAATTAATAAATTGGCACTAACAACGCACTGCAATTAGCCAATTGCATTTTACGCATTATCCATCCTGTATTTACGAGGAAATGTTGACTTTGTGACCCGTTAAAGGGGTTTAACGCCTGAAGAAGCCACAGCCCGTCCTCACAGTAAATCCATTACCATGAGAAAATACCCCACCCCTCCCTCTTCAAACCACCTACATATTTATCTAGAAATGTGTGATGGTCTGAAAGCATATTACGGTTCCAGTAATGGTCTACATGAAAGTAGGAAATGAACCTTTGTCGTAAACAGAGATTATTCTCAAGTTATAACTTTAATGTAGCAGAAATTGTTGGTTTAAAAAGTAAAAAGTGTATGCAGAAAACGTTTTCTTGGAGGAATTTGGTTTTATGTAAACGGAATTCAAGGGCATGCTGAAATAGTTTTCGATTTCTATATTTCACATTATCGCCAATAATACATCATATTACCTTAACCAAATGTAATGAAACATGACCTAATCTAACCAAATCTCTAACCTAAAGTATCCTTAACCTAACCCAACCATGGATAGAAAGTAGACAAGAGCATAAATTATAGTTCTCCCCAATCCATTCCCTTGAGCAGATCTCCCTAAGGGCAGGTTGGATAATGCAGCCAGCACCTAACTTCATGATGTTGCATATGCCTGAGTTAAACTCCAGTAGCCACTTGTTGAACCATTCTCTCAGTTTGTATAGGTCATCCACAGGGACCTGACAGCTGAGTGGACAGCGCTTCTGATTCGTAGTCCTAAGATTCCGGGTTCGATCCCCGGTGGAGGCGGAAACAAATGGGCAGTTTCATTAACCCTGATGCCCCTGTTACCTAATAGTAAATAGGTACCTGGGAGTTAGACAGCTGCTACGGGCTGCTTCCTGGGGGGGGGGGGTGTTGTAACAAAAAGGAGGCCTGGTCGAGAACCGGGCCGCGGGGACGCTAAGCCCCGAAATCATCTCAAGATAACTCCAAGAAGATATCCTGTACTTTCTTGCAGTCTTCCCCCCACACACATCCTCCTCATAATTTTTGCATAAGAAATCGTAGAAAGAGAGGTGTATATCCCACCGGGAAGATCATTTACATAGATCAGAAGGTCGTCCTGCCACCAACTCTATTATAACCCAGGTGGAAACATTCAGAGACACTAAAGTCTCCCCTCTCATTGTGACTCAGTTTTTTATGTTGCTTAGGCACTGTGTTATTGGTTGAAATACCTTTGCTTGGGGGGGGGGGGGTAGAAATAGCCTAAGCTACTCTATCCCTTTGAGATGTATTTCTTTCTTGTCTCAGTAAACATACTTGAACTTGATTACCTTTGCTTTCACTGGTGCATGTTTCTACAATTTATGCGCCAGGTAACCTCCAGTGGAGGTACAATGCCAGAGGCTTTCGAACAATTCACAAACCATGCAATCTGATCTGTCGATCGGTCACAAAATTCTATTATGTGAAACAGGATATACTGTGAAAGTTCATGTATAAAACATTCGTGAATTCATTCAAATGCTTACACCATTAGTGTAAAAAAAAACCTGTAGCCAAGGAATTCGCTATTATAAAACTCTTCACATAACACGAAGCTTTTCAAATTTTCATTATTCTCGTTTCCGGGTATTGCCATCAACTATCCTAGGTTTATTTATGTTAGAACTTAGCCTGTTTTCTTAAGAAAAAAATCCATTTGGTGAGTGTATAAACTACTTGTAATAAAAGAAATATCCGAATGTCAACGTACGAGAAATGTATGTAAAACAGTCCTGTCTATCATGAATAACGAAGGAAAATCGATTATTCATTTACCTCACATTATAACCGATGTTCTTTATTGTTTTTTAAATCTATATCTATAAATTAAAATGTCTGCAAGCCTGTCTGTCTGTCTCTCAGATGTTGGAGTCCAGATGTTATTGGTTAAAGGCGTTGGGTCTGGGTTGGCATATGTGAAACGAGTGCCATTTGACACGGTGCCTCTGGGACCCCCGCGGCGAATTTTGGAATAACATATTAACTGGCTTTGAATTATTTTTGCATAATTTGTTTTTGTTACTATAATGTAAAGCGTTATG